TCGTAGTCGTAGTAGTAGTAGTAGTAGTAGTAGTAGCAGTAGTAGTAGTAGTAGTAGTCGTCGTCGTAGTAGTAGTAGTAGTCGTCGTAGTAGTAATCGCAGTAGAAGTAGCAGTAGTAGTAGTAGTAGTAGTAGTAGTAGTAGTAGTGGTAGTAGTAGTAGTCGTAGTAGTAGTGGTAGTAGTAGTAGTAGTAGTAGTAGTAGTAGCAGTAGTAGTAGTAGTAGTAGTAGTAGGTAACGCTGGGGGCTCCAGGCACGTAGTAGTGTGAGGCAGTAATTATTTTAGTTCGTGCTAGTGCTCTGTTGCCCCATATTTGCACCATCTTGAAAGACTGTCTGTTGCATTTGAATACGCAATTTGTCTGTCAGTGTCTTTCACATGGTTTGTGGCTGTGTATTGGCCCCGATGATGGGATCCGAAACGATGGCAGCGAACGCCTGGGGCGTTTTTGGCGCGTCGTGTTTGGTGATGGTGATAGGGGTGATGGCGATGGCGGGATGACGGAAGGACGATCGATTTGATGATGTCATGGGGATGATGTTGATGATGCTAATTAGCTGATGTTTTATGATGACGATGTTGATGATTGTGATGAGGGTGGAAATGCGTTATGTTGAGATGGAATGGCCCGAGTAGACCTTGCTCATAACAGTGTAATCATATACCGCTATTGCCGCATGCCCCCCTTTTCCCCGTGCGACTTCCCATGAGGGACAGAGGGGAAACTGTAGTAGGGTTGCGAAGGCTACACATTTACATGTGGGATTTGCTAAGTCTGGAACAACGGATTACTGTGAGAGTGTGAACCCTTGGATGCTCCAGGTGTAATTTCAAGCGGGTAGGCGGATGGCTGGTATAGTAGAATGTTGAGGGTTTCGCCACCCACGCGGCGCTGCAGGTGGAGTTCCGTGCCGCAGCACTGGAGCAGGCGTTCATTCGGCAGCCGGTGCTGCCCCTCTCCGGCGCCGCTGCTGCCGGATGGAACCCAGGAGTGGCGCACGCCTTCACCGCAACCGCCCAATCATCGCACGGCGCCGCGTTTCATCGCGCGGAGCAGCACGACGTGGACGCGGCCTTGCTGGAGCTCCACTCGGCGATGCGGACGTGGCTGTCCTTTCGATTGAGGCTCTCCGAGGTGCCAGCGCGGCCGCACGCGGCGGCCTCATGGCAGACTGACCGGCCCCCTGCGGGTGGTGGAGGCGGGGAGGCTGCAGACCGGATCGCACACGCGGCCTTGCTGCGGCTTGAGCGTCCCCGAGGGCTGCTGCACGCCCAACGGCGCGCGGCCGCCGCCTGCAGGGCCGCGCGTCCGATCGCAGAGTCCACCTTGGAGGCGCTCCGTGTGGCTGACGGCGGCAGCGCAGAAAGGGCCGCGGAGCTGGCCGCCTTGCTGGCGGACGTGCCGCTGCCCGCGCACGTGCTGCAGCGTGCGGAGGCTGCCTGGGCGGAGGCCCGCGCAGTGGCGCGATGCCGCTGGCGGGAGGAGTGGCGTCGATGGGTGCAGGACTGCTTGGCGAACAGCCAAGGCCGGCTGTACCGCTAGGCTAGATCTGGGGCGGCGGTCGCTTCGACGCCGAGCCCGCCCCAGACCCCGCGACGGCCCCCGGCGTCGCTGGCAGCCCGCCCCCGCGCGGCAGAACCTGGTTGCTTGCCAAGCGCGGGGGTTCTGCCGCGCAGTTGCGATTCTTCGATGGCTTCTGGAAGGCGATTTGGCAGCGGGACGCGGTGCCGCCCCTTGGCGAGGAATGGCTTCAAGCGCTTGACGGTTTGCCGCCCTTCCCCGACCGCGCCCCCTGGACGGCGGAATTGGTGGCCTCGCTCTTGCGGAAGATGCCGAAACGCAAGAAGGCCGGGCTAGACGGATGGACGGCGAGCGATTTGCGCTTGCTCCCAGAGGAGCTCCATGGCTGGATTGCGTCATTCTTTGAAGAGGCGGAGGCGCTCGGCCGCTGGCCCCGCGGGCTGGCCGAGGCCGAAGGGCTGCTCCTCCCGAAGCCCGGTGGGGAGGGCGGAGCGCTGGACAGGCGGCCCACTTGGCCGCTGCCGATCCTACATCATCTGCGGGCCGCTGGCCGCGCCCGCCTCTTCGCACGCTGGCGCCTGCAGTGGGCCAGCGAGGATGCGCAGCGAGGTGCCGAGGATCCGCGTGGAAGCTAGCGCTAGAGCTTGAGGCGGCCGAGGCCCTCGGCGAGAGCACGGTCGGCGCGGCGATCGACTGGCGAAAGGCGCGCGACCATCTCCAGCTCGCCTCGCTGCCCGGCATGCTCGCGCGCGCGCGGGGGTGCCGCCGTGGATCGCGGGGCCTGCCACGCACGCGCGCGCGGCGAATCGGAGGACCCGGGCCGGCCGTGCGATCGGCATGCAGCGCGTGGGCCCACACCAGCGGTGTCCTACCCGGTTGCGCGCTGGCCGTCTTCTTCCTTAGCGCGATGGCACCGGCGCAGTGGGGAGCTCGACGACGGCCTCAGACGCCGGTACGTGGACGACTTCGCGCCGCGG